ATCAACTTAGTATTGCCTTTTCATAGTTCTCAATGTTTGGTTTATTATTTACTAAGGTCATTTCCATATGATTTTCATAAGAAAAGCAACGATAGTTGCTCGTATTATTTCAAATAAGGAATATAAATTAAAATATATTAATTATTTTCATTTCTGACTTGGTAATACTAATATTTACCACATCTATATACATTTTAAGACTATAAGTCGATATTACTGTTGTTTTTATTATTGATTTCGGTAAAATAATTTGTCAAGCATCCGGGTATTTAATGCAGATTGAAATAAATGAATGGTGTGAGTAGTTATCAAGTGAGAAAACAAGATGAAGACGAGATAAGCAGCAAATTCTAGAGAATGTTTATTGCAAACGAGTTAACAACCTCTCTAGTAATTCTCTAGCGTTCGAACACCGACCGACTCATACCAAAGACTTATAAAAATGGTATTTGCAGCTGCCTCGCTTGGCGCTCAGAATTAAGATATTATTTTTAGGACTAGTCTTCCTGGTATAAGGATAATGTGACTGGTGGTGGGATGAACATGATGCTACGTGCTGCTGCATGATTTCCCAGTGCAAGGCATCACTATAGGACACACGGTACTAATAGCATGAAAAAATGGGACCAGCCTGGAAATTGGTGAACATTTAATAGAGTACATATGGGCTAGGCTGGCAAGGATTGGTCTAAGTTATGTTTTAGAAAAAAATCTTTTGATAGCTTATACTAGTTGCAAGTGAAACAAATTAGAGAATTGTCTTATTGATGGAACTCCAGTCCTTTAACAGTCTTGAATTTGGAATACTTATTACTAAAATTAGCACCTGACTCTTGGATGCGGAATTGAAAGCTTATGTTTCAAACACATAGAGGTCCAGAAAATGCCGCGGCTCATATCCTTTCCTATGCACAGAAGCGGACATCGAGGTTTCATCTATACTGACGAATATAGGTTTAGTCATAAGCTCTCATAAATTTTACGTTATTGAATTTTTGTATCATGGTGTTTGCATAGGTTTATTATGGGAACGGAATTAGTACCGTGATAACTATAGACAGCTACAACAATAAAAGCACTCCACATATGCAGGTGTAATTAACATTACTATAATTGCAATCAAATGGTTTTATTTGTGGAAGAAAAAGCAAAAGTAATACCTTTTGTAAACCACAGAGTGATTTTCAGTGAGATATTAAACAAATATTCCGATACATCAACTGCTGCCAAGAATGGGGAGGTGGAACAGGGTTTTGACTCTTTGATGGAGAATGGATTGTGCTTTGGTTTATATCTAAGTAATACATTTATTACATTTATTCAATTTACCATCTTTATTGTAATTGTAGTAAGCAATATGATATTTTTTGGTTGTGTTTTGAAACATAATGCATTAAATGTGATCACTTAAGATCTCTTCCACCATGCCTAATGGGGATGACCTCATGACTTTACACCCCACTAATGTCTTTCAGTGAATCTTTTGAAACTTCATATTTTGCATTTTAATGGACTTATGTCAACCTTACTTTATTTTTAGACTTTATGAATTCTGGGAGGAAGTTTAGGTAATTTTTGTCATTTAAACCCCTTTCTTTAATGATACATGTACATGTAGATGGTCACTTTGACCTTTAACTCCTTAATTACATAATATGACAAGGCTGGTAATATATTTCAGTATTAAATTGAAGAAAGAAATTCAATTGTGATATTAAAAAGATGACTTATATAGCATTTTTTTAAATAAAAAATTCTAATTTTCTTATAAAAGTTCATATATTTAAATAATGCCTGAAATGCACCATTGCTATTTAGATGAAGATGAACTTACTATATGATTTAACATTCATTAGAGTATTCTTTGACAAAAAGAACTATGCACATCTCTTATGTATTAAACAACTATTCATAGAGCTGTCAAGAAAATCAAGGGTGGATATAGAACACACTGTACTAATGGTATGGAAAAATAGTAACCGAAATGTAAATGGGTGAACATTTAATAGAGTACATGTGTGTTTGGCTGGCCAGGATTGGTCAATAATCTAAGTTATGTTTTAGGAAAAGGAATCTAGTTGTAAGTGAAATCAAATAGGGACATTGTTTTATTGATGGAATTCCAGTCCTTTAACAGTCTTGAGTTTGGAACACTCATTACTAAAATGAGCACCTGACTCTTGGTTGCAGACTTGAAAGCACGTTTCAAACGTACGCAGGTCCAGAAAAGGCCGCAACTCATATCCTTTCCTATACACAGAAGTTGACATCCAGGTCTCATCTATACTGATAGATATAGGTTTCATCATGTGGCTTCAGAAATGTTAAGTTATTGGAATTTTTAATATTGTGTTTGCATGGGTATACTATGGGAACTGAATTAGTAACGTGATTCCGATGAACTACTAGATTGCAAACATCTTATTGATGTCATTAAAGCTACGTTCAAAATCAAAATCATACACCCACGCATGCGCGCGAGTTAGCGAGTTGGTTAATCTCTTCATATTATAATACCGAAGTCTAGTGTTTTTTAAAACAAATATCAATCCATTGTGAACACCAGCTTAACATGACATAACTTTAAAAAATATTCTGAAATTAATGAATGGTGAACATAGCAATATACATATACATTATTTACTCAACCTGAAAACATATTTTAGATAAACTTGTAAAACAAACTTTGTATAAAGATAGAAGTAGAAACCAAAAGAAGTACAGTGGTATGAAGTCAAAATACCAATAATATATTTATCAGGATGACTACGTGCATTCTTTTGACACTTTTTCGTAGCCCAAACTGCCTCTAAATTAAAACAAACAAGAAAATCTAACAGGATATGGCTTATAATCGATAAATAAGGATGTAAAAACGAAATTTAATGTAAAAACTATTTCCTTATTACTATGCAATGAAAGACGAACTCATGCTGAGTGATATTTGTGAATCTGTTTGATCATTATGCATATACAAGTATACATTAGATCTAACACGTTATATATATATATATATATATATATATATATATATATATATATATATATATATATATATATATATATATATATATATATATATATATATATATATATGTGTGTGTGTGTGTGTTTGTGTGTGTGTGTGTGTGTGTGTGTGTGTGTGTGTGTGTGTGTGTGTGTGTGTGTGAGAGCATATGCTTGTAAAAACTTTAGTTGGCAAAAGAGATAACAAATAAAATCCAGAAAAGAATCTTTGTTGTCTGGGAAAGATCATAAACGCTTAGGTGGTGTATTCAAAGATGATTTTGAAGCAGATTTATAAGGTCCTTTAGCACCCGAAAAATTAGCTACATATTTGATTGAATTATTTTTAATACAAAGGTAATTAATAGATGAAAAGAAAGGTACAAAACCTTAATAAAAAAAATTATGTACATTCAAAGCAAAGAAAATAATGTAATTACGTTAGAAATGTTAAGTTGTAGCTGTAGGTAGGTATAACATTATTAAAGGTATAATATATTATTAGACATTAAATAAATAAAAATAAAATGCACATTTCTTGGCAAAAAAGATGATATCACCTAGTACCGTTACTTCCTATGGAGGTGGAAGTGATTTTTTGGATTTATGAGGAAAGGTAATACATGGAGAAGATAAAAATTTGAGTCAGAAGGCTGTACTTAAAAAGAAATCATAATCTAATTCTATTAGCAGTTAACAAAAACGACTAGTTACAAATCCGGACGAAACAGAAATCGAACAAATTTATTTTCAAATAAGAAATGTGGATATTTTGTACAAGTCCAGATCAGGAGTATGTACACAAGGATAAAAAGGAGAATTGATAGGCTATACAAATCCAGTGGGTCTAATTTGCACCTAGCCACCTGTAATACAAATAATGTAATGCCTTATGTTTTGATTTAGTACCGTATCGATATCGCTTTATATATTTGTTCACTGCTGTCTTTTTTGACAGAATTACATCATCCAAGATCTCTATCACCTAATAATAATGAATTTATTTCTTCAGCAGACCTATCTCCAATATTCTTATGCTTCATTGCATACATGTGACTATTACTTTCCCAGGGCCTTTCTGGATGACCTGAGGCTGCTTGTTTCCTACATACATGACTCATTTGACCTTGTTTATTTTACAAGATTTCCGTGCATGTTTTTGCACAAGACTAGAATCTTCCCGGCGCCTTTCTGGCTGATACGGTCAACTTCCTTGAGGTCCTACCTAGCAACTTCTTCTTCTTCCTCTTCTTCTTCTTCTTCTTCTTCTTCTTCTTCTTCTTCTTCTTCTTCTTCTTCTTCTTCTTCTTCTTTATAATAATAATAATAATAATAATAATAATAATAATAATAATAATAATAATAATCATAATCATATGATTATTACATATTATTATTATTATTATTTTATTATTGTTATTATTATTATTATTATTATTATTATTATTATTATTATTATTATTATTATTATTATTATTATTATTATTATTATTATTATTATTATTATTATTATTAGGTCATTTGAAACTTTTCGTGTAGTGTTTTTATCTACATTTTGAGCAGCTCAGCTAGCTTTTGGTTATATATATATATATATATATATATATATATATATATATATATATATATATATATATATATATATATATATATATATATATATATATACACACACACACAAGATAGTTTATTCAACGGGAGACTCAATGTGACAACATCTGACACACAATTCCAAGGATTACACTATCTGAGCCATTTCAGAAAGAAACTAGTACTATAATATGTGTATACGGTGGATATTCACACTTAAGTATTCTGCATAGGGTTAGATTTTTAAAGGAAAAATGAATAGACTCGGTTTTGCATATATGAAAGGACGTTTGTCTGCACCTGAATATACAATTTTGATCACATTAAGGTTCAACACTGCAGACTCTTGTCAAAATGCAACTCCTTCTCCTTAGTAAATTCCGAAAGCTATACTAATACTCGCCCGCTCTGGTGTCTAAGTGGTTAGAGCGTCCGCCTCGGATGCGTGAGGTTGCAGGTTCAAACCCTAGCCGAGTCATACCAAAGACTTATAAAAATGGTAAATGCCTCGCTTCGCTCTCAGCATTAAGAGGTCATTGTTAGGACTGGTCGGCCTGGTGTCAGGATAATGTGATTGGATGGGACATGATGCTAATTATCAGCGGCATGAAGTATCATCATATATGAGACATCAGTATAAATTGACCTAAAGCAGACATGATAGCGATAATAATGAAAAATAGTTAAAGCTACGTTATAAATGCAAATCACACACATACGCACGCACGTACACATAAACACATCTAATACTCGAAACGGGTCTATGAACCAGGGGGTAAACAATAGTAGTTGTAATTATCTAAGAAACGAGTTGACCATAAGCGAATTGATGAAATCACATCGCTGGGAAAAAATCTGAGACACAGAAATAGCACATAAATGATTCGCTATGTTCCTTTAAGATAGACTCTTGTCTCATATTAACACGTCATAAGGCAAATACTATATATATATATATATATATATATATATATATATATATATATATATATATATATATATATATATATATATATATATATATATATATATATATATATATATATATATATATATATGTCGTTGTCTTTTGTATGCATAATGACATATTTTAAAGATTAACTTTATTTCCGTTGACTAACGTGTTGACCGACCTTGAAGCACACTCTTGTGTAAGAATGCTTTTCATCTGTTTAATGATTTAATTATAATTAGATCAATTAACGAGGTCTATATTTGTGCAGTTCAATAATAATCCACCACATTTTGTCACAAAGAGGCTTTAAAAATGGCGATATCTCTGTGAGACGCGAGCGTTCTGGATGAAAGGGATAAGTAACAGATATCATCAATCAATCGGATCAAGGACGCTGTTTTCTTTCGTTATATATAAATTATTTACACAGATAAACTAAATGCGAAATAGATTATATGAATTATGAAAACAAATTTTGTTCATATTGAAAATAAAAATGACATTTATCTGGTTTGTATGGTTTCTGTGAGATTTGTTCTACTTGATTTACGCCCGATGGATCATTATTCATTTGAGTATTGTTAACAATCTACATTTAATCTGCAAATTTTAATTAATATTTTAACCTTGTCAAGTTTTCCGATTTCTGCTTAAATAACACACATTTTGTTAAATACAGATATTACATTATTTAACATTCTACAAAAGACCTATGATAAAACATTAATTATATAATTTACGACCAAGAAGGAACCATATATTTTCATACAGTATTAAGTGTGTCATACAGGTAAATTGGACATGTATCCTAGTGCAAGAAACCGTCATTTGAATCTTTAATTCTGCAGTGAACAAAGGTTACCTTTCTAACTGCACATACAGGTTGGTCATGATCGTGATGCCTTTTATACATATCTGCCTGAACACTCTCCACATTATTAGTGCGTTTCAGGTTTCATTTGTATTTGTTATTTCTTAAGTTACGTTCTAAAATATCCACACATTCACAGTTTGGAGTAGTTTCAATGACACTAGTAATCGTAATTTACCCATATTACGTTTTCTAAAAGGTCACTAGCGAAAGATAATTGTGAATAAGTTCTTAAATCCTTACAAAATGATATACAATTCAAGTTAAGATAATTGTTTCTAGTTTCTTCAGTGCATATTTTGGTTGAAACGTGCACTTTGGTTAGATGATGTGTAAATTATTATGTTTTCACATTTCTGGAAGAAACAGTCTTAATTGATCGTCTTTCAGAGTTTTCTAAAGTCTGAATAAATTAACTTACGATAGTTGTTACTGACGAATCTGCGCTAAATTGATCATGCGATATCAATATATTGAAAACAAGAGACAGAGTTTGATCAAAAATATTCATGCGCTTCTAACTTGCAATCTTTTCTGGTAGAACAATCAGTGCCGGATTAAGCTATTACGTGGTCGGTAACATATATTATAAAGAGGCCCTAAATTAAAAAAAAAAATATTAAAACATACATTTTTGAATGTGCGGGTTCCCGTAGCATAATCTACTTTTGCTACTAGGATAATCTGGCACTGAGAACAATTGTTACAATACAGTTCTGAAATATTTAAAGTCTCCTTGCAGCGTGCATTACCTTTTTATGTAGCAATCGATATTTTTCATGCGGATTACTCAAACTATGTAGAATAAATTTGTCTCAAAAAGTCGAAGATTCTGCCTAAAAAGTCGAAGTTGTTTAAGTATCATTTACCAATGCAACATCATATTTGATTCGCGCAGGACAACAATTGTGACAGTTTTATTTAGCAGGTTTCAGCAATGTATTTTTCAAGAAAAACTTAAGGTCATCTAGCTTAAAATATAATTATATTTAAGTAATGATAAAAAGCTGTGTCCAAGTTCGCTTCATAAAGGCAGAATACGGTCAAGTTGAAACTAATCAATGGAATTTCACTAACATAAAGTAATGAAATAAAGCGTTATGCTGTGAGTGAGTTGACACTATTATATGGAGAATATGAGAGATAACCCTAGTGTATGGTTGCATTATATTCAGACGAAAGTAACTGCTTTAAAACTTTCACAGATCTGGTGGCCTAATGGTGAGAGCGTGCACCTAGGATGCGGGAGGTCGTGGGTTCGAACCCCGGTCGATACATACCAGAGACTTATAAAATGGTACTAACAGCTGCCTTAATAGGCGCTCAGCATTAAGAGGTTAATGTTAGAACTGGTCGGCCAGGTATCAAGATAATATGACTGGGTGGGACATCTTGCTACGTATCTGCAGCTTGACGTACCAGTGCAGGCCTTCACAATAAACTGCCACAAAGCAGATATCGTAGCGATATGATTGATTTTTTTTTAAAAGCTTCCTTTAAAAAAATTCATATTACTACAATAAAAAAACTTTCACAATGAAACATCTAATTCTGCATCTTGTTTAGTGTAAGAAAGAACTGGGTCTTTTAAACATAAAGTTTTTTTGATAATTCGATCTGTTTATCCTTTTAAAAAAATAAAACATTTTTAAGAATCTGATCTATTTTACAAACAATAATTTATGAATATTTTTCAGTAAAACTGGAACGTAAACTCTGCATACAGTTCAAAGTTGTATTCCGTAAACTTTCTTTATCATGAAGCAAAAGATCATGTTAATTAAGGCCCGTGACATTGGAAATGAACTTTATTCAGTGTCAAATGTATTTTTTTATAATTATTTTTAAACCAAGTTAGTGATAAAATATGGTACAAATGTAATTCAAACTATACTAACCAATTGATTGTGCTATTGATTTTTATCCTCTCTCTCTCTCTCTCTCTCTCTCTCTCTCTCTCTCTCTCTCTCTCTCTCTCTCTCTCTCTCTCTCTCTCTCTCTCTCTCTCTCTCTCTCTCTCTCTCTCATTAGTATGCATGTCTTTAATATTCCAGGAAATATCGGGCTACTTTAATTTCAGCAGTATTAAGAAAAATGGATGAAACATTATAGAAAGAAGAGCCCAACTTATAATTCCCATTTTTTTCCTCAAGTTGGCATTTTAAAGAATAATTTCATTGCACTCTGATTAACAACTTAAACTATTGATCACAATGAATTTGCTTATTTTATCAACAAATTAACAACCTGCACTAGGTGGAAAACCACCCTAACCCTAGCTAGGTGTGGTATCACTTAATGATTTAATTTCCTGAAAAGAAAATGTAAGTATCTAAAATTACGACATACATGATATCTATTTTGTCTGCACTTAACTAGCACTTTACGACAATTACGCCCATTTTTTAAAAAAAAAACAAAAATACAAATCTATGACCCCAATGTTGATCTATATAACCGAGTAAACGTTTTGGCGTAGCAATATGATATATCCTCTTCAAGTGGACCAAGGAGTATGTGAATCAACACAAGGCAAACACGTTGATAGTAGTTCATTGTTAGAGGCTCCTGTGAGGTGCAAATATGGAAAGTATTTTTGTTGGAATTTATATACAGTATCGATGGCTTAAATACGACGATTTATTTTTGATACCATAATAAGCTTTTATAGCGATGTAAAGTTTGCATATTTTATTATCTGTATATGTATGATTCAAGATGTAATCTAAAAAAGGCCACGAATATCTTTAAATACGGAATTATGTGTAAATAACGGGTCGTTATACTGACAGTCAATCGTTGTGCTCCTCTTCTACTTAGCAAAAGATGCAAGAATGAAAAATACGCAATATTTGGGCAATATGGTATAAAGTGTTATAGAAGTTATCTGCTTTTCTTGAGTTGCGGAAATATCTCATGGATGAAGTGGGAAACATTGGATTGTCACGAGAGGCCTAGCCACAGGTGTAAACAAAAATCTTTCAACTTTACTTTGTGAAATATTTCTTTATCTCTACTAAAAATAAAACTGTCGATTTTCGTTATAATATATACATTTGCGGCAAAAAATGTAAAATTTGCATATAATTTCTATTTTCCATTATGTGTCAAAGCGATTACCGATTGCATTAGTATAAGGATAACAAATGCTGAAATTTTGCAATAATTCTATGACAGCGATTTTAACAAATTTGGGTTATACATACATAGCTTCGAATTGTGAGTTTTGGCAAATTAATGGCTGTGTTTAAAAGAAGATATTTTTATTTTTATGAATACATTTCTAGCGCAGATTGATGCAGCATATATCGTTTAGGTATGGTGTTGTAAAAACGTCACAGAGCTGTCGCATCCGAGAGATTTTAAAGCGTTCCATTTTAAATAACATATTTTAATTATTTTGATTTCACTTGTATCACTGTTAGTTCTGTAGTTTATTGGCCATAACAAGATTTCCGTCTAATTCGGTAACAGACAATCAATGATTATAATCGGAGAGAGAGAGAGAGAGAGAGAGAGAGAGAGAGAGAGAGAGAGAGAGAGAGAGAGAGAGAGAGAGAGAGAGAGAGAGAGAGAGTCGTTACTGAATCAAACAAATTTATTACTATATCAATACAATTTAGAACAAAACCTATACGATACTGTATGGATGACAAGTAATACAGAAATTATATAATTTATTTATGTTCCGTTACTGATAAATTTCCAGGATTCGTGTGGAAAATTAATTATCAAACTGTAACGTTAATACTTGAACCCACATGTTGTTGTTTTCAATTTGTTTATTTTTATATTTTGATGTCGCAACCTTTTTGATTAAATCAACGTATACTAGGCGTATCCAGTCTTGACACTTTTAATCATCTGTTCATCCAAAGAGAGAGAGAGAGAGAGAGAGAGAGAGAGAGAGAGAGAGAGAGAGAGAGAGAGAGAGAGAGACAGACAGACAGACAGACAGACAGACAAACAGACAAACAGACAGAAAGGGGGAAGGGGGAACGTATAATCAGACTGACAGATAGGCCCAAAACTACAATAAATATTTTGTACATAGTCAATCCGTTACATGGTCATTTCCAAGGGCGTGATAATGTAAAATCCATATTTCCAATACGCTCAAGAGTTGTCTACATGAAATTATGTCAACTAGTTCAGTGTTTTTGCTATAAAACTCATCTTCATTACATGTATTCATCTACGACCTCACTAGATTGATGTAAATACGTCTCCGCAACATTTTCACAAGGTTTAGAGGCTGCTGATCTGGTCTACTTGGTCATGTCATTGAAAAACTGTCAGTGCAACTGCGACCTAAACATATCTCGCCACTTTCGTTATGTCACGAAAAACTTCAGAAGAAGATAGGTGAATCGCTTCTGAAAGATTGCACTACATATTTTACGACTACAAAGGTTTAGATATTTCAATTATGATTTTATCTCCATCTCCCGCCATATTGCTTCACGTGAATGGGAGTAGTTCAGAACAGTTCTCAATGCCAACACATTACATTCGATGTTTCTTTTCTCGACTTGATAGAAAAGTCCAAGGATATTCCGATTGACAAAAATGATGAGATCATTTTCCGGTCAAGTAATAAACCCCACGTACCACATGTACGTGTCATGAGGTTGTACCCTAGGGGAAAAATCGGAGATTCCTTGTATGACGTAAAAACTAAGCATTGGCAGACCTCCGGTTGGCAGCGCCACCATGGCGACAAAGGAAGATGATCTATATATCGGCTTAAGCCATTTAATAGGCAGTGCTTGTCGTATACCTGATGATATTAATGTTGGGTATATAATCTAGGTCATTAAAACTGTCATATATATATATATATATATATATATATATATATATATATATATATATATATATATATATATATATATATATATACGTGTGTGTGTGTGTGTGTGTGTGTGTTAAAACTGTAATTTGGATAATATTAAATGAAGATTAACAGTCTTAACTATGCATGGTTCTTTACTTCCCCTAAAATTCTTATACACCAGCTCATTTTTTTCTCTGAGATCTTACAGATGACAGATGAACTTTGGTTCTGTCTTTTTGTTTTCCTTCTATGCCAAACCTCTGCACGAATCTCTCATACATTTTGCAGCTTATACCACATCGATTAAATTCTGCCTTGATTGTCGTTTTCCTTCTCTACGTTTACGACTATGTCCTGTAAGTTGACGTGACTTTAAACTAGTACATAACAATGGCGCTGAGAACACCCTTTTTGATAGTCTATCTGCTGTAAGCAAATTTTTAACATTGGACGTATGCTATTTCAAAAAAAAAGTGCATAGATAAATATTGGCCACTTTATTTTATCAGAAATATCCAATGCCGACGAAAGGCTTTAAAAACCCCTGTTCTTTCAATGAAAATAAAAATGTTTTACTATATTTGAACGGATTATTGATTGCACCAGAAATCCATTGAAAGGAAGGACATTTACAAGCTCTAATCTCAAAGTGTGCACAGGTGTTATTATAATCAAATACACATTTATAACGGTCAGAGAAAAGAAGAAATATCAGAAATGTAACCAGCGTTGATTGAACGTCGATAAAAATTGTCGTTTATCATTTTACGCGTGATTTTGCGACTTGGAAACCAAGGTGGCCTAATGATCGCCAAGAGAAAGGTAGACGCTGATTTAGAAGTGTTTGCAAAAAAAAGTGCCGTTAAAGCCAGCTAACGAGTTAATCAACGTAAGCCGTTAGGAAAACTGGTGTGGCTTTTGATATCTTAAAAATGTTCCGCCTAATTAACAGAGCAGTAACTTTTTAAAACTCTTTAAATGGATCATTATACATAAAACTGAACACGCTAATATGATCTAATACAATGTGAGTTTTACTGGTCGTCTTTGGAAATGAAAGATCAAGACATATAGAGGATAGGCCTGGTAGTTTTGTCAATTTTATCCAGGCTTTTTCTGTCAAGCCTTATAATGTTTACTTAGTCGACTGATCGATAGCCAGATCTTTGGTCTGGGAACAGATCCAAAGAGTTCAAACTAATTACTAGTTTTCCCCAACTCACTACTTATCAAGAAGCAAGATAACCTCATAATATTTAAAGTTTCAAATTTTGGTTTAAAGAGACTGTATGTATGTATGTATGTATGTATGTATGTATGTATGTATGTATGTATGTATGTATGTATGTATGTATGTATGTATGTATGTATGTATGTATGTATGTATGTATGTATGTATGTATGTATGTATGTATAGTATGTATGTATGTATGTATGTAT